TGAGATGTATCATTAATGAGGTTATTTGGATATTTCTGATTTTCTTATATAAGCACTCATAGCTGTAAACTTTCTTCTTAGAACAGTTTTCATAGTGCCTCATTGGTTCTGGTAAGTTGTATCACTATTTTTGTTTGATTCTAATATTTAAAAAATTTCCTCACCTGACTTCTTGTATTACCCATTTGTCATTCAAAAGTGTATTATTCAATTTCCATATGTTCGTATAGTTTCTGTAGGCTTTTTTGGCATTAATTTTAAATTGCATTTCATTATGATCAGATAAGATGCTACAATTATATCAATTCTTTTTTGTACTTTCTAAGAGTTGCTTTGTGGCCTAAAATATGGCTGTTTTGGAGAAAGTTCCATGAACAGCTAGAAAGAAAGTGTATTTGGCTATTGTTGGATAAAATATTCTATAGTTGTCTGTTAAGTCCATTTGATTTATATTATGTTTCAGGTCTGAAGAGTGTTTATGTCTGGATGTTTATGTCTGGACTATTTTGATGGCAGTTTCAATGAATCTACATATTGCTTTTGGTAATATGGCCATTTTAAAAATATTAATTCTGCCTATCCATGAACATGGGAGTTCTTTTCATCTTCTCATGACTTTTTCAGTTTCTCTCTTCAGTGTTCTGTAGTTTTCACTGTAGAGTCTTTCACCTCTTTGGTTAGATTTTTTTCTTCAGTGTGTGTGTGTGTGTGTGTGTGTGTGTGTAGTGTATATGATTTCTTCATTTCCTATTTTTAGCTGTATTGGTGAGAGAGGTGTGTGGAAATCACCCAGTGTTATTGTACTGTGGTCTAAGTCTTTGATTTGCATAGTGCCTGTTTTATGTAATTAGGAGCACCAAAATTTGGGGCATAAACATTCACTATGTTATTTTTTTTAATTGAATCATTCCCTTTACTTGTATGAAGTAACATTCTGAGTTTCTTCTGATTAAGTTTGGCTTCAAGTTAGTTTTTTTTTTTCAGATATGAAAGTAGTTATTCCTGCTTGTGGCTATCTTTGCCTGTAAGGTGAGTCTCTTGCAAACAACATCTAGTTGGGTCTTATTTTTTAATCTATTCTGCCAGCCTATGTCTTTTAATTGGGGAGTTGAGACCATTTACCATTTAGAGAAATGTTTATTCCTGCCATTTTGATTTGTTTCTAATGTTTAATTTGGTCCTGTTTCTCCTTTGCTTAGCTAATCTTCAAATGAGATTTGTCCATTTGTGGGCTCTGCGATTTGTTTTAGATTTCTTCTGTGTGCAGTATTTCTTTAAGTATTTACTTTAGTGTCAGTTTAGTAGTCATGAATTCTTTTAGTTTCTGCTTATCTTGGCAGGTTTTTATTTTCCTTCAATTCTGAAGGATAGCTTTTCTGGATACAGCAATCTTGGTTGACAGTTATTTTCTTTCAGGGCTTGGAACAAATCATTCCAAGTCCATCTTGATTTTAGAGTTTGTGCTGAGACATCAGAAATAATTCTGATTGACTTGCCTCTAAATATGATATGATGTTTTTCTCTTGAGCCTTTTAAAATTCTGTTCTTATTCTGTATGTTAGGTGTTTTAATTATAAAGTGTCATGGAGAGGTTCTCTTTTGACCTTGTCTATTTGGGATTCTGAATGCCTCCTATATCTTGATGTCCTTCTCATTCTTAAGGTTTGGAAAAATTTCTGTTATTATTTTCATTAGTCTGCATCTCACAACCTTCCTTGACTGCAGTAATTTTTATCTTTGGTCTTTTACTGTTGTCCCAGAGTTCTTGTATATTCTGGCTATAGTTATTTATTTTCTTTTCTTTAATGTAATCTAAAGGCTGGTTATTTTATCGTCCAATTCTGTCTTCAACTCTGTTAGAGAGACTTTCACCTGAATATTTGATTTGTCTTTTGTTTCCAGATATCTATTTGGTTCTTTTTCAATACCTGTATCTCCTTTTATTGATTTTTCTCATTCATATCCTGTACTGACTTCCTAAATGAATTCAGTTGTTTTTCTGTGTCTCTTGAAACTCATTGATCATTTTTATAATCACTTATTTATTTATTTATTTTATTGTTTTAAATTTGTTCTAATTAGTTATACATGACACTTTGGCACATCATACATAAATGGAGTGTAATTTCTCATTCTACTGGTTGTTCATGATGCAGAATCACACTGGTTGTGTAGTCATATGTGTATGTAGGGTAATCATTCTTTTGAATTGTTCATCAGGTATTTCTTACACTTTAGTATCTTTGGAGTTAGTTGCTGGTGAATTAGGAAGAATTGTGTTACTTTATTTTTTTCATATCTCTTGTATTCCTGTATTGGGTTTTATGCATCTGTTGGAATGGTTTTCTCTTTCACTGTGATGTGTGAACCTTTTTAGGGCACAGTCTTCACTTGTCAAACTGTCGTGGAGTCATCTAGGTTGAAACCCCTGATATCCACAGCCTTTGTGTTAATTTTTTTTTGCTGTAGTAGTTGTAGTGTGTGGGTGGGACCCTGTAGCCATTCCTGCTTGGCATCTGGTTCTTAGTTTGGGGTTTTAATTTCTTCTGTTTTTTTTTTTTTGTATTGAGGTGTAGCTGAAGTTTGAATTTGGATGATTTTAGCATGAGCAAGGTGCACTGTCTTGGCTGGTTTAGTTCAGCAGCAGAGTCTCTCCCCTGAGAACATGTAATGTCCCTGTAGGCTCTCAGCACCTCACAGAAAAGGGGGAAACAAACAAGAGCAATAATTAAAGCAAACCATAGACAACATTAGAACAAATACCTGGTGCCTCCATAACATCTACAACATTAGCACAAAAACAGAAATGGTGGGATCAGCAGTTGTCGGCAGCAAAACCAATGAATAGCCATGAACTAGATCTGGCATTAAAATAAATAGTAGGTATCAACTATGCCATCCACAGGCAACAACATGAATGGTAGGGGCAGGAGTTTTGTAAACCAAATAATTCTAAAAGATGGTGAAAGTACAGTTCATTAAGAGAAAATGTGACAGGAAGGTAGAAGAAAGTTTAGAATGTTCTAAATTCAGAGAGGATGCAGAAGAGATGTAGCAAGTGATGGTTGTAAGAAGGAGAGAAATAGAAAAAGGGAAGAGGGAACAAGAGAGTTTCTTTTAGTGGGGAAAGAAAGGAGAGGAAGAGAAGCAAGCAAACAAAACCAAAACAAATCAAAACCAAAAGAAACCACAAGCCCTAACTCTGAAAAGACAAGGAAAAAAATAATTATTGTAAAAAAATGCTAAAAAATAAGAAAAAAAAGAAATACTTATATGTGTATATACCTACAAACCAATTAGCAAAATGTGTGTGTGCGCGTGCACGCGCGTGTGCGCGCGCACACACACACACACAGATTCTTAATGAAAAATGTAAGAATTGTTCCACTGAGGTGGTCAAGATAGTCAATGAGGATGGATGGTCACTGCCTATGCCCAGCTGTTCTTCTTTCCATCTCTTCTTGGGCTATGTACTGAGAGAGAGAGAAAGAGCCAGGGCTGGGGGTTTTTAATCCCTTTTTGTGTTGCTCACTGAGCTGCCAGTTGGAGCGACCTAAAACTGACACTGACTGAAATAGTTCTCAACTTACCTTCTCACCAGAATAAGGGAGGATGGAGTGGGAAGTACTGTTGGAGTTTTGCCTGGACAGACCAGATCGAAGCGCTTGCAGAGTGGGGCTGCTGCAGAGTTCTCTGAAAGGAGTTCTAATGTTTGGCTCTAGTCAGGCATTAGGGACTCTGCTCTGGAGAGATTAGATCAACCCGCCCCTAGGTCAGGCAGATGTTATCTCTGTTGGGAGTTTGTATCTCAGGAACCTCTCAAAAATTCTACTCATGGGGCAGGGGATCCAATCCTGTACACACTGGGCTGCCCACGAATATGGCCTTTGCAGGCTTAGTCCCTCAGTGTACCACCTGTTTACTTTCCTAACCCTCTTTAGCTGGTCACCTGAATCACCAGACTCAAAGGGAAAGCAAATTGCACTCCCTTTCATTTTTCTGGCTTGAACCCACCTGGTTACAATCTTCTCTGTGCCTGTTTCACTCACCTTCTGCTAGGTACACCCTGGCCACATGGTAGGCACTTGCCAGAACAGTGTGGTAATGTTTGCTATAGTCTCCTGGTTCCCGCAGCAACAGCTACAGTGTCACCTCCACAAGATGGCTCCTGCCTCAGATCTGTGCTTACCAGTTGAGAAACAGCACTTTTCAAACACCAGTTTGCTGTGCTGTTTCTGGATCAGCTGAGGCCAGCTGCTTTTCTGATCTACATGATTTTCTGTGCCAAATGTATCTGCTGCTTTTCTCTGGGTTATCCCTCCCCTTTGCAGGGAATCATTGCTACCGCTGCTGATGCAACCAGCTTGGTTCCAGTGTGCACTTCCGTATTCTTTGTTCAGTGCACCTGAATTTCTGAGTAGAGTTATAAGCGACTGTGACAGTCCAGTATTGAATTTTAGTGAATTCCCTCTTTCACCACCTTGCTAAGTAATACTTCTGCTGCTTGAATCCTGGGCCATGGAGCAACTTGGAATGCAGTCTTCCTCTAGCCTGCCATCTTGAATCTCTCCCTTTGATATTTTTTTTATAAAGTTTCCAAGAAGTCTGACAGACGTGGTCCCTGAAGAGCATAGCTAACTATCTCTGTGTCCAGAGCTTGTCTAGTTCATGAGATTGGCAGCATTGAGTTCCTTCTGATCCACACAGCTCATCCAGCTACTCACATTCAGTATTTATGACAAAACAGAGACTTCGTGTAAATAACCTAATTCCTCTTTCCTGCCTCAAGTGTTTAGAAATTTTAGATCAGGGAAATAACTCTCGGAACTTACTGAATTAAAATTCTTGAAGCTGTACTGGTGTATTTCCTTATCCAGCAAATAATCTTTAATTTGTATGAATTAAGTTATATAATTAAGTCTTCAGTATTTGAAATTAAATATTATTCTTTATCTGTATTTTAAATTGTTGCCTTTTTCCTTTTCTCCTTTATTTTGCAGTTCTCCGTGCCATGAAGGACGACAGTGAAAAAGTTCCGAGCTTGTTAACTGACTATATACTGAAAGGTGAGTTTTATAATAGTATTATGAACAGTGATTGGGAAGTTTTGATCAGTCAGCAAATGTATAATCTTTTTAATAGATTTGAAAAGTAACTTCCAAACACACAACTTATTAATCTTACTGTACAGAGTGAGGATAGATAGCATGACTATGTGTTCTGCCAATGTTATGGTTATCAAAATTTGACTTTCATTTGAGGTCTTAGACCAGAAATAATTTCTACAGCTGAATCATAAACATTGAGGGAGGTGGTAGCTGGATGCAATGTCATGCACTTGTAATCCCACCAACTCAGGAGGCTGAGGTAGGAGGATCGCAAGTTCAAGGCCAGGCTCAGGAACTGTGAGAGACCCTGTCTTAAAATAAAAATTTTTAAAGGACTGGGGATATAGCTCAGTGGTAGTGCACCCTTGGGTTCAGTCCTCATTATAACAAAAAACTCCAACGTACAAAAACACTGAGAGAGGTAGTAGAGAGAAATTAATAAGATACTGCCATAATTACGTGGGCATGAGGTGTGGACATGCTGGCCCTGGGAGTGTGAGAAGAGTGGTTTCTTGTCATCTTGGGGACCACAGAAAAGGGAGAAGGACAGATGGTCATTGAGAACACATGAAGGAAGAAATAGTCAAACCAGTTAACCATGCCAGGGGGAATGCAAAAAAGTCTAATGTCAGGGGTAGAGAGGGGAAGGGGAAAATAGAAAATAATAATTTTTATAAGTCCAGGACAGTGAAAAATGAGCCAAAAATCTTATCTTAGGAACAAGATCAAGATCACAGGGTGGGAATATTGATGAGGCAGAAGAAGACCGGAGAAGTTAAGGGTATCATTTTGCTGAGGAAAGAGTAAAAGTTTGGATGATAAAGGGAACCTAAGACCTTGTTTAGTTATAGGCAAAACTAATACCTTTCAATGAAATTATTTTTTAAAAGCAGCAGTTATTCATGCAATATATTTTGAAAAACATCACAAAATACACCTTGTGGTGTTTGATCAGAATTGAGGACTCCTCTTCTAATAACATTTTCCTTCTTTGGGTTCTCTTCTCTGTCAGCTGAGCATAAAAAAGGGTAGAATTTCTGAGATGTGTAGTATCTCACATGGGCCTTTCTTTCATCCATAGCTTTACTAAAAAGGAAGGGTGTTCCAAGTTCATAATGTCTAATTACCACTGTGGGAGACTCAACAGATGTAAAAATATGAGTCAGTTGCTAGTGGGTTAACAGGGGTGTGGAAAAGACTAAATGGACATGATTTTAAAATTTGCTATGTTTTTCTGATGGCTGGCTTTTCTCCCTATTAAATTCTGAATTATTTTTCATACCTGACATCTTTGTTTGCTTTTTGTGTTGTGCTAGCATTGGTATGAAAGCTGGATTGGTATGGAAGAGGTTTGTTCTTTTAATGTGGAACAGGAATGAGACAAACATAAAAAACATGTCTTCATTTTAATTACAGCGGGTCTCTATGGCACTGCCACAAGGGAGGGCAGAGTGTGTGCTCTGGAAGCATTCTTAGCTATCTTATACCTGAGCTTTGCCTGCATGGAAGAGCTCTGGGGGGAACGGGTTTTTAATTCTTTCCTCTGAATGCCTAGGCTTAGTTGTGATGCTGTCCCCGCTGCCCTAGGAAGGCAGCACTGTGCCCTTCTGCTTCTCTTGCCCAGGCCTCTGGCTCTTGTGTGTAGCCTGGTGTCGCACCTACCTGCTCATGCTGAGCTGGTGATGCATGCCTTGTGCTTTTGTCTTGGCTCTGTGCTGTGAGGACTGGGTGGCAAAGAAGCCAGTTCTGTAGTGGTTCTGTGGCCCAGAAAAGGAAGTGGGTGTAACGAGTATGGGAGAAGGTGCTGACATCGGGTAAAGTAAAGTGCCCTTTCCCACCCATTGTGGCAATTCACAGCCTGTTCAATGTCCCTCTTCCTCAGGGACTAGTAACAAGACATTGCCTTGGAGGGGTAGGTTGCTCAAGGGGACAATGCTCCTGTCCCTTGTTTGGCTGGCCTTTTGTCAGTAACACAGATGGCCATGACTTGACTGCCTAAACATATTGTAATCTTAGTTTTAATGCAAAGGTCAGAAGTAAGAAGGTGGAGAAGGGCCTCACATGGCCCTAGGAGGATAGGATGGGTGCCACTGGGGGCTAATTCAGTTTCTTCTCACCCCTGCTTACTGTGTTCATTGCAGCCTCCTTATCCCCCCTCCCTTGACAACCCCCCCCCCCCACCCCCGCTTCAACAATAGTACCAAGGCCAGTGATTGTGGGTCTGGCTGCTGCTGTGTCATCCTAGATTGGAATGAAAATGTATGCAGAATCTCGCCTCCTTTGAATTCACTAGGCTGCCTATGTTCTGTTACAAGCCTCAGGGCTACAGTTACAAGCTTGTATCTTTCTGTGGCACCCTTAGAGACATGGCCTTTTGGTGTCTCATTTCTGGGAAATTTTAATTATTGTGTCTTTGAGAGAACTTTTTGGTGTAGTCTCTTAAATGTTTAAAAATTTTTGCTCTTGAAGATTCTTGCATTAATATTTAATCATCATTACACAATGGTGCTTTTTATATACATATTAAATGTATATAAAATGTAAATGCATTTGTTGTAAATATATACAAATGATACATCCCTATCTAAAGTGTTTTTTCTTTCTTTTCCCCCCCTAGTTCTGTGTCCCACCTAGAGCAGCATTACCTTCTGTGGACATAACATTCTGAGAGTTGGTTACCATGACCTTCTTGCTACTGGAAACCCATCACACTTGACCTTGGGTTTGTGATTCAGTATTAATAGATCATGACTTCACTAAATCTTTATATTATAGAACCAAGAAAACTGTGGCACTCTTTTGAATTCTAGAGGGTTTTTTTGGGTAAATCTAAGTTCTCTTAACTTAGTGAAGAAATATCACTTGTGCATGGACAGTTACATTTTTCATTAACTTGACTGTATGCCTGGTGTTTTTATGGCTTTCTACATCTAAACTGCACTGAAGAACTAGATTAAAGCATTGGGAGATTTATATTATAGCTATTCTTCAGTGATGGCAAGAACACACACAGATTTTTTTTAAAATAAGAGGACTGTCAGTATAAATGTTACCTATCAGTATTGTCCAGAAACTGAAACTTAACAAATGTGGGCTGCCTTTGAAGCAGCAGCACTGGAATATGCATTACCTTGGCTTAAGTTAATAGTATTGCCTCTGCTTGAGATGACTGATTTTATAGCTTGCTGCTTTTCACCACTGTTCACACTTTAACCATCTGCCACTCTCAGAAACTTGTATTCACTTTATGTCAATATTTTGTTTCATGTGTCTGTAAAGAAGTGTACTTTAAAAGGAGTTTGAGAAGGTGCTTAAGAAATCGTCTGCTGCTGCACTGCCCACTTCCCATCGCTGTTGTTTTATTCATGCCTGTGCACCGTCCTCCACGGCTGATGCCAGAAACAGCTATTCATGAATACATCACTAATCATGAACAGGTCTGCCAGATTCAATCATGTCAATGGCATTTAATAAATATAAAAATAATATATGTTAAAGAGCCTTGAGTATTTTTATTGTATCTTTTGTTTGCTCTTGCAGTACTAAGATTAGTTGCTCTACAGTTTGTGAGCAGTGCTCCCTGATTAGATGGATCATGATGGTAAAGAGGGGAGAAGGATTTTCCCAGATCATGCTGTGCTGCCATGGAATGACAGCCATTCTGCTTTTTTTGGCCAATTACACAGCCTGCCCCTGACATAATAATGTGTGTAGAGTCTATATGGGACCTACTATCAGGGGGCTTTTAAAATTTCCTCCAAAGCATCGGTGTCCACATTCCTTATGCCACTTAGTAACTGAGGTGCTGTGACTGCAGAGGCAGTGGCTTGAAGTCTGGTGCCAGCGTAGCTTTTCAGTTGTTATCTAGAGGTATGTGGAACCTGAGGATGGTTTCCTTGTTTTATTAATGTCTTAGTAGATGGTGAACAGGTAGGAATGATTTGTCACTTTCCTTCAAACTGATGAAGATGCCTACTTACATAATACTAGTAATTAAAATTAGTTTTATCTGAATTTGTAAAAAATATGCCTTATACCAAAGACATGTAGGTATAAGGGGCATACAATAAAGCAAAAGTCCTTAGGGATGTGTTTCTTGAATAGATTGAACCACGTTCTGTTTAGAGCTAATCATACTGAAGTTGATGCCTTTGATATATATGTAAGCCTACTTTCTCCCACCTACATTTTCTTGACAACTCAGAGTACCCTTTGTAATTAGATTTCTCTGATTTTGTTTGGTAAATACTTTCTTCTTTAGCAGTAAATAGCTGTAGAGTTTTCTGTCACAATCCTTTTCCACATGCTGAAGTAGATTTGATACAGGTTGGGCATCCCTGACCTGAAGTCTAAAATGCTTCACAGTCTAGAACTTTTTGAGCACTGCAGCAATTCCACAAGCTGACCTCATGCGATGAGTCACAGTCAGAATTCAGTTATGCTAAGGATACTGTCATCAAATCAGGCTGTGTGTGTAAGGCACAGATGAAAGATAAAATAACTTTCATGTTTAAACTTTGGTCTCATCTCCAAGATACCTCATGATGTATATGCAAATACTCCAAAATCTGAAGAAATCCTGTGTGAAACAATTCTGGTCCCAAGCATTGTGGAAGGAGGTAATTCAACCTGTACTGATGACAAGCACATCGCTACTCATGACTGGCAGCAGGTAGCTCTCCTGCTGCCCTAAGAACAGTGCCCTGTGCAGTGTACTCAGGGAACATTTTCTGCAAAGATTCCTTGGGAAAGAGCCACCTGCTGGGAGGAATACTGGGCTTCTTGTGAGCTGGACGACCTTGAAACAGAAGGACCATTTGTCTTTCTGATCCCAGATAAGGAGTCTTTTTGAAAGTTACATGGTGTGATTTCTTCTCAAAGTGTTTACTTGCTGCCAAGAACCAAGTTGCAAATCATCCCCTTACAGCTTGGCTTTTTGAAGAAAACAAAAACAAACTGTAGAACTACGGTGCACTCCAAGTGCCATATATCTATTTTATTCTTCAGGAAATTATATTTGTTTTTCTTTTACAAGAGCACAACAGGAACCAAAGTACAGGAGTAATAGATACAGCACTCAGGATAAATCATATCTTTAAAATAATAATAAAAAATTTACACCTTGTCCTACATCCTGTTAGTATTTTCATATGGCCATGATTGAAAAAACAAAAAGCAAGCATTTACAATTTTTTCTTTGATAAAGACTTTATATGCCAGGAATGGATTAATTGTCAACAAAATTTTATACTAATCAGGCTGATGTAAATCTATTTTGGTAACATCATATCATTAACAAATTTATTTTGGAAATAGATAAAAATATTGCCCCTTGATAATAAATCTTATTTTTTTTCTTTGATGCAAACAGCTAGAACACCTTTTTCTTTTTTCTTTTTGATATTCTAAAACAAAAAAATGGTTAATCTTCAGATTAATAAATTAGGTCATTATAATAATAAATTAATTTTTTTTTAAAGTTCAGCAACCTCTGTCCAAGTATTTACAACAATACTTGAAAGTTCCTTTACAAAACAGAACACATTTTCTTTTCACATTAAGCATACTGGGTATCTGTGTCTTTCACAACAAGCATTTTTAAAAGAAAAGTCAATGCACAAATGGGTCATTAGTATAAAAGTGCTAAGAGCTGTTTGAAAAGTTAACACTATTGTGTACAGTCAGTTATATATTCGAGGCAAACTACAACAAACTTCCAGCTTATTGTGGACAATATTCCAGTAGTTGTTTCAAACAGTTGTTTGAAAAAAAAAAAAAAAATCCAGGAGCTGATTAGTGATGCAGATAAAAACTGCCATCAATGTCTCTGGCCAGTGAGCGAATTGGAAACCAACTGAAAGCAAATCCAAATGAGAAGGAAGATTTTAATAAAGGAATATCCTCTCCATAGCAGGTACGATGCTGGCTGCTGAAGGTATGTATACACACACACATACACAGACACACACACACACACACACTCTCTTACAAACATCTTTCCAATTAAACTGCAGGTAGAATGAGAATTTGTGTTATTCAGAAAATCTGTAAGTGATCAAAAGCATTGATATGGAATGCCTGTTTATCTGCCTTTGTTCTGGTTAAAATCTCATAAAAATACATTCAACAGGAAAACATAAATTGTATGTGTATAAATATATGAGCATATATATTTATACACATGCACACAAATACTTTTGTTTTTTGAAGCATCATAAGATAGTTACATAAATAGTCCTATAATTGCTAAAGTTTAAAGAGGCATAATTTTTTTTTTAGCTTCAACAAAGGTGCTTGAATAATATACAATTAAAATGAAGTAGTTTCTATTTTGTAGAATCAGTATATAATAAAGAAAAAAATCCCCAGTCTTTCTTTTTTTTTAAAAAAAAGTTTCTTCTTAAGCTAGAGCTTCAACAAAAACTATGAACAACCAACAGTATAACAGAAAAAAGCAACAACAAACAATGAAGTATAGCCCCTGGAAATGCCTGGTGTCCTTCGCCCTCTCCCTCCTTTCCGCCACACTGTTGTAAGAAAAGCTCCAGTGCTCACATCAAGAAATGACTTAGATCTTGTTCATTTGCTGTCTCTGCTACGAACTGGCTGATTGGCTTGGAAGAAAACAAAAGCAGCAAAAAGTATAACTGTATATGTCCCTAATAACCCGCTTTAGAGAAATGCAGCTACTGCATTTCCCTGGCTTCCTCACTGCCTATCGCAGTTGTGACTGCGTAGAGAAGAAACTTGTGGCTTTAGACCTGGGATGGCTATCAAAAGTTCTGATGCACTCGTCTGGTAGTTCTAAGGTGGCTATGGCAGCTGGATTGCAAGGCCTTTTTTTATTTCCTGCTCATTCAGGCCTGAGCTTTGCAGCAACCAATGCAGTCTTCAGAGCAACAGGAAAAAGAATCCTCTGGGCCACTGAACTGCTTTTATTTTACTGGATTTTTTCCCCGAGCCAGGCTGACCAATTTTTCTTCCCAGCACCACCCTCCCACCCGTTTCCCCAACCGAACTCACTGTCCCCACCCCCAAATATCTCTACAGCTATATTACAAGCAAATATACCTTAGCAACTTTAAAAACTTTGGTTCTAAGAAAACACTTGGTCAGTTATCTTGAGGAAAGGTGGGAATGCATATCCTGCACACTGCTGTAGACAGAGCCTATCCCAGTAAGTTCTTAGCGCTGTATATCAAGTCACAATCCAATACAATCCACTAAGCAAGTGCACAAATTCTAGTTTACTTTTAAGAGCAGATTTAGTTGTTTTCTGTGTTTTGAAACCTCATCCATGTTGCCTTTCTTCACACTGTTTGGTAGAAATTGTCCGCCTGTAGATGGCTCTGTTTTTGCATGCTGTAGAAGCCACTGAATCTTGCATCTGGTTCAGCGATTCTTAGCATTCTCTGGGAACCATCCACCTGAACTCGTGTTCCCTTCTTACAGTCCACAGATACTAGTTGATTATTCAAGGAAGAAGGCTATTGAGTGAGAGAACAGGAGAAAAAAACAAAAACCCACAAAGAATTAGCTGCCTTACATACCCCATATGTACAGAAATTTAGGACTTAAAATTCAGGTTGGGCAATAGTTTCACATTTTGTTGATGTCAGACTATAAGCATGGTATTACATCTTATTCGAATTCCAACTATATTTTTATTAGTGAAGTGACATGATAACTATTTTAAATCCATGAAGTGCAGACTTGTGTTTAAGAGGGTTAGAAAAGGAGTGGACATTAACAGGTGGTCAGATATTAAAACAGCAATTCTAATGACACAGGTTGTGTGACAGCCTCATATGTTGGACCAGCCTGTCTGTATCTCATCATCTCATGCTCTTTATGAATGGGTCACTTTTCCTGGCTTCAGACAATATGATTGTGTCTTGCGCAGCACTGTTTCCTGACTTAGCATAGAGGCTGTGCCTCGTCCATATTTGTCAAAAAGAAAATCACAGGCAGAATAACCATCTGACGGAAATTTATATGGAAAGGTTAACTAGATGGTAAGTTGGATTAAATATATTATTGAGGCTATTTCTTATTCTCACAGTTGTATGATTAAAAAAAAAACTAAATGTAAAAAAGTAGAATGAGTTGGAAGAAATATGATTTTTCCCCCTAATTACTACAGTGCTTTTTCTCCTGTTAAAACAGGCAGATTCAAAGACCCTTTGTATTTGTATTGAAACAAACACAGATTTCTCTCCCTTGATAAGGAGTCTGCCTACCCTTGGTCAGTGTTACCTCATACATTCTTCATCTTGTGCTACCCGTCCCTTTGTGCTTGCCTTTGGACTTCTGTATATCCTTATTATCCTTCAGCTCTCTCTTTGCCCTCTCCTGAGTATTACGTCCCTCCCTTTGTGGTTTCTTTCCTCTCCCATTTCTAAGTTAATATATGATTGAGAAATACCAGATGATCAAGTTTTGATTTCTAATATAAACGATGACTCAGGAGTCAATCCAGAGGTTTTTGTTCATTTGA